AGCGCGCGAATGCAAATCTAGAACCTTTACATTGCTGATTCACTAGTTAACTAAAAGTATTAGTTATTCTGCAAATATGCTTTTTACGAGCAAAAAAACCGTTGCTGGATCATTGCAGGTCGGAGTGAACGAAGTCAGGGGTGAAGTTTAGCTCCATTTTAAGGAATGTGAATATGAATACCATTTATTTGATAACTGACAGCATTGACAGTTTCTTATCCTCTCTTTCTTGAATGCGGTAAATTTCAAAGCCAGGAATGCGACATTTCTACGAGCCAAATCAAACGATTATCATCATGAGCTTCAAAGATATGTACATTGCCTTATAAACTACACTATACAATAGGACACCTGAAACTTCCCTTATTTATCAATGACATCGATTTTTTTGTCGCTGTACTGCAACCAGCCGTTCACCTCTCGGCCAAGGTCGCCGGTAGTGATCTTGCATATTATCTACGTTCTCTATCAACCATGCACTTCAGTTGTTTACCAGTTTTTTCATGTTCAAATTCTTCCCGATCTCAACTTGTTATTTGAGATGCTGAAAGATGTGATCGAACAACTTGTGAACTCACCGAACAACGAGCACAAACCTCTCACGAATTTCATCAATAACGAATTTGTGGAAACGGACGATCTGATCGATTCGGTGAACCCGGCAACAGGACAAGCATGGATTCGGATCCCAAACTCGGGTGAAAAGGAGGTCAACGAGGCTGTGGCAGCTGCCAATCGAGCATTCCCATCGTGAGTTTTTTTTTTGTGTCTTCCTTTGTTATAATGGTTGCTGGACTAACATGAACATGATCAATTTTGTAAGTGCTGTGTATGTTGTTGCTTCAAATCTGACTGTACACTAAGGGCATATGGTCTTTCACAGCTTTGTTCCTACCCCCAGAATAGAACATGTGTACTGTGTAAAGCAAATGAGGCTAGTTAAAGAGGTTCAACTATTGGGAGTTTGATAAGCTTTAGTGAAGATTAGATACAACTAGTGAGTTTGCAGTGCATAACAGAAACCCTTTCACACAAAGCTTTCGCCGAAGAAATTTACGACCATTGTGACGTTGCCAGAAACGGTAGTCACTCAAAAAAATTTTCGGAAGAGTATTCAAAAGACCACCAGTAATGAAGTAGAAGGCGAAATCGAGCGATCTATGTTACTTATGTGAAAAGGCTTGACGAGGCTCATTTGTTTTTTTTTCTACTGAGAAGTTACGTTCAATTTGCCGTACGCGCTGTACATAGGAGGAAATGTTCTGAAGAACTATCGGACTGCTAACTCCAGAAAGGGCTCAGCACAGATAGCTTACCGGGCAGGCTGGATACCGTTTAGGGGTAAACAAAGGGATACTGTGAGGGTAGGGGTCCGAGGCAGAGCACGTGTAAAAAATACTTACATGTATCAGCTTAGTATGGTGTATATGAAAAAATCCCAACCGCTTTCTGATCGGCGTTCAGGAGTGGTAAAAATTTACAAAAAAAATCTTCTGATCAAGCAAGGCCGCTTAAGACTAATTTTTCTCATGAAGTCAACAGGGTAAAAAAAA